GCTTGGTAAGCTGGCTGATGAAGGACCTCGGGGGACTGAGGAGGGAAGGTTGGGCCTGCAGTGCTGTAGGGGGAGGGCTTGGTAAGCTGGCTGACAGGGCTCACAGGTGGCCTTTTAAGTTTGAGGAGAGAAAGCAGTCCCCGATGTGGAAGAGGCAGAAGATATTTGGGTAAAACTATCATATTCTAACACAGTGTTTCTCAACTAGGGACAATTTTGTCCCCCAGGTAAAATTTTGCAATGTCTAGAGACATTTTTAGTTGTCACACGGGGTGGGGACTGCTACCAATATCTAGTGGATAGAAGCCAAGGATGCTGCTGAACATCCTGCAGGGCACAGGACAGCTCCCCACAGCAAAGAATTATCCAGTCAGAAATGTCAATAATGCTGAGGTTGATAAACCCTGCAAACACCATCAAGAACTAGGATGGCTGAATAATTCATCATTCAAACTGGGGCATTAGAGTGAAATGAGCACCATTAATAAATACTCTGGGACAGTGGGTATAACCTGGACTGACTTGGCAAACCAGAATGTTTGGTCAACTTCTCAAGAATCCTTGGGTGAGGGAAAGTCTGGTCTGGGTCTGCAGGACAAGGGGTGATGGAAGAAGAGCTGTGTGCAAGGGATTGTGGTTGCTGGCACGTGTGACACATGGGAGAAACTCACCAGGCCAGGTGAGGTCTCCAGAATCAGAAGGTTTACCTTCCTGATATAGTGGAGAGGCTAATCCAGAGAAATTGGGTCTTTATAGAGCTGCCTTAGTGTCACCACGGCTAGGGTTTTACCCACAAATTAGCTCCCAGCCCCAAATTATAAATAAACAAAGAGAGATTGATGTCTGTTTTGCTAGAACTGGTTCCTTTTGGGAAAGGAATCTACAGATGTGTGGTTCATGGCCATGTGTTAATGCTAAAGATGTCTCATCCCACTTCTTTTTTCTAGGTCAGAGATAGCCAATAGAGTTCATGTCCCTTGCAAACCTGATGGATTGTAACCACCTGGAAGGCCAGGTGGAGGGGTAGGAACCACCCCCCCCCCCGGCTCAGTGGAAAAGAGTGTGGTGATTGATTAGCAATGATTGATTGATTGATATTGGTATCATACAGCCCCAGAAAGGAGAGCGGTGGGCCAGTGGAGCACATCCACGCCATCCTTTTGTAGGGCCAAGTTTTCGGTTCTCCTCAGAGCCTGAAATGGATTTAAGCTCTGAGTCAAGCGGCCCCTGATGTATTTATTTAGGCCACCTGTGCCTACCGCTGCCAGGCGCTGTGGGGGATAATGAAGACCTAGAAGATATATCCCCCGGCCTCCAGTACCATGGCATTTTTCTGGGTGAATAGATTCACATAAATGAAAGCATTGGAGGACAGTGAACAATACATGACTGCAATAGCAAGTGCTCCCTGCATGGTGGAGCTTCTGTCATGTGGAAGACCACACAAAGGAAAGAGGAACTTGGGCTCAGAGGAGGAGGGAGGAGGGAAGAGATGGGTTTGGAGAGTGGAGTATGAATGGCATGAGGGCAGGCTTGCTGAGCCTCAGGGAGCAAGACAGAAGGTACAGGAGCCCACCATGTCTCAAATGATGTCTCTTTCTGTATTTTTCCAGGCCGTGAGATGGTGGGGCCCACGCTGCCCGGATACCCACCTCATATCCCCACCAGTGGACAGGGCAGCTATGCCTCTTCTGCCATCGCAGGCATGGTGGCAGGTAAGAGGAGGGACTGGACGGAACTGGGCAGGAGGGGGTGCATTACAAAGAGGAAGTGCTGGAGAAAGGTTGAGCAAGAGGGGGCAAGATGTAGGGCATGCTTCATGATTACAAGGGCATGGAAGAGTGGCCCAAAGGGTGCATCATCTTGTAAATACCTGGAGAAAAGACCTCGGTGCAGTCCTGGCTCCTCACCTCTCCCAGCACAGCCTCCTTCTTCCCATAGGCCATCTAGCTCCCATGTTACCACCTTCAGGAAAAGGGAGGGTCTGAGGGAGCAGCATGGACTCAGACAGGCCCCTTTCATGGATTCAGTGAGCATTACTGGAGGGTGCTCTAGGGCCAGCAAAACAACTATGAAGCAAGTATAAACCCTCACTTAAGCAGTCTGTAGTCTCCCTGGTATTTAACTTTGATGGGTCTCAGTTTACCGCTTCTGTAAAAGATGAATATGAATGATGATGATAATGCTTAAAATATATTCTCCTTCCCACCCCACACTCACCCAACCTGTATGGGGAGAACCCAGGTTCTGATTGGTACCCTAGAGTGTGAGATGAGCTGGGAGTATTTCTTCATCCTCACCTGGACTGTCCCGGAGTCTTGACTGTTGATCATTTAAGTTTCTTTGTCAGTGTGATCATTACCCAAAGGGGACTCAGGGCATCAAGTCTGGACAAGGGAGGAGAACAACAGGAATTTCTTTGACTGAGTCCCACTCTTTTAGGAACCATAAGGGAAGGACTCAGGGATGGGTAGGGTAGAATTGAGCCATTTCCACTGCCCAGAGAGGCCTGGCACCTGGTGCTTCTGGAATGAGTATCTGTGACCCTCATGCCAGCCCTGGCTCTGACCCAGAGAAGCAGCACATTCACTTGGGCCTGCTTTCCTGCCTCCCTGACAGGGGTTAATCTTTGCCAGCCACCCGCCCTAGGTGCCCTGTGCTGAGGCAGGTGGGCTGGGTTCTCCTGGGCAGAGAGAGGGAAGGAAGAAGGCTGTGCACTCCCTGGGAACCTGCTGAGCTGGCACTTGTTGCTGCCTGGTTACCGTGGAGATGTGCTTAATGCAGTGTTGAAAATACAGAATACTGACTCCTCTCTCCCTCCTGGCCCCAGACTCCCTCCCTCCCTCCCTTCTTCTTCTGGAGCGTGAAATGAGATTGGTCAAGATAAAAAAGGAAAAGATTCGGTTATTTTTTTAAGAGTGTGGATAATGGGGCCTCTCAATCAAAATCCCAGGCTTCAGTTGCTCCACCCATCCCCCTTCCACCCTCTCCACCCTCCTCTGCCTCCCGCTCAGAGGAGGAGGAGGAAACATAAAGCACTGGGCTTTTCTCTTAATTATGAACCATTCCCGGGGCAGGCCCAGGGCCAGGGGTTCCTGGGGCCCAGAGCCTGACCTGTGAGGTAGCTTGAAGGCCTGGACCTCTCATCAAAGTCCCCCAGGTTGTTTCCAGAAAGACCTCACTCTTAATGGGTGCTGTGGAAAAAAATAGCACAACTACTTTTTGCAAAAGGGAGGGGCCTTGCATTACAAGGTGGATGGGCTGCCAATAAGTTGCATGCAAATCAGTTTTCAGAAAATGCAGTACTATTTAAATGCATCATCTGGTTCCTTGGAACTCTGCCATGCAAATGAATTCTTAAGGAATTTTTTGTAGAAAAATTATTTGTCCATCTGTTACCACTACCCATGATCTCCCAGCTGACTGAATGGTAGTTCTTCCCTTCAAATCAATAGACATTCGTTGAACACCACTTTGTGTTCCACCAGTTGCCGTGGAGTCAACTTTGACTCATGATGACCCTGTATGTTTCAGAGTAGAACTGTGCTCCATAGGGTTTTCAATGGTTGATATTTCAGAAGTAAATCACCAGGCCTTTCTTTCTAGGTACTTCTGGGTGGACTCAAACGTCCAACCTTTCAGTTAGCAGCTGAGCACATTAACCATTTGCACCACCCAGGGACTCTGCTTTGTGCTAGGTACATAATAAATGCTTAAAGAAAAGCACACCAATGACATTCTTCAATCAATTGTGGAAGGAAGGAAGTGTTCATTTATTATGCACATCTGTGTGCTCAGCCATTCTGTCTGACCATTCACGCATATAACTTTATTTCTCATTTAATCCTTACCATAAGCCCGGGAGGTTGGTATTATTCCAGTTTTATAGATAAGGAAACTAAGGTTTGAAAAAGAAGTGTGTTCAGTCATAATCATACTAAGTGGCGAGTTGTTCAAGCACAGGTCTTTTGATTTCAAATCTAGGGTTCTTTCCACTACACACACTGTCTTCCACCATACTGGAAATAAAGATACAAGTTATGAGAGAGAGGCATAGAAGCAGGGCCAAAATACAGCTTTCTCTTGTCCACTCACCTTCTGTTTTGCCTTCTTATTTTTTTGTTCCTGCCCCATTAACAGAGTTAATGACTCTCAACCAAGTTCTAGAGCTGAATCACCATCCACCCATCTTTCTACCCATTTATCTATTCATCTTTCATACATTTTTTCATACACTGGTATGACTTCCTATCCATCCATCCTTCCATCATCCATCTTTGCTTTTATACTTGCATCCATCCTTCCATCATGCTTCCATCACCCATCTATCCATCCTTCCTTTTATCCACCCATTCATCTCATGTTTCACTTAACAAATACTGGTTGAGATGCTAGAGATACAACAGGGAACAGGACAGGTTCCTCTATTCATGGAGCTTACAACCTGATAGTGGAGGGAAGTGGTCAGTAAATGAGTAAAGAAATGAATAAACAAGATAATTTTGGATATTGATAAGCACTGTGAAGACAGTAAAATGAGATGATATAATGAAGAGCCACAGGGAGAGGAGATACTACTTTAGATTGGTGATCAGAGGAGGCCTCTCTGAGAAGATGTTCAAAGCAGTTAGCCAAGTGATAAACTGGGGCAGATCGTCCCTGGCCAGAAAGAACAGCAAGTGCAAAGGCCCTAAGGCAGGAACTAGTTGAACATGATCGCACACAGAAAGAAGGTGAGTCTATCTAGAGAACAGTGACTGAGGGTGGAAGGCACTACAAGATGAAGTGACGTTGCTAGTGGCCGGGTCACGTTTTAAAAGACTACTCAGTTTGTTGGGAAAATGTGATTGTAGAGAGTCAAGAAAGGAAGCTTAGGGAGCAGTTAGCAGGCAGTTGCAGTAATTCATGCAGGAGATGACAGTGACTTGGACTACGGTGGCAGAGGAGAAGGAGCACAGAAACACTAAGGATATATTTTGGTGGTTTAGCCAAGATTTCCTGGTGAATTGGCTGTAGGGATGAGAAAACAGGAAACAAGGATGACTTCTAGGTTTTGGGCTTGGGAAACTACATGGAGGGTAGTGGGACACCAGAAGAGGAAGTGGTTTAGTGAGTGGGGAAGTGGAAATCAAGAGTTCTGTTTGGCCATGTTAAAACTGAGATGCCTACTAAATACCCAATTTAATAAGTCTATAGGCCCATGGGTATATCTGCAGTCAGGAAGAATCCTGGCTGAAGGTATAAATTTTAGCCATTGCACAGAGGTATCATTTAATGCCAAGGGCTTAGGCAGGATCACCAGAGAGAGAATGGGAATAGAAAAGCACAGAAGGCCCACAAACCAAGCCCTGGAGTTCTTCAGCATTTCGTGGTTTAACAGAGAGAGAACCAGCAAAGAAAACTGAGTAGGAAAGCCCAGTGAGTCAGGAAGCAAACCAAGAGAGTGGTTGCATGAAAGCCAAGGACATAGAAGTGGTGATGTGCTGAATTCCAAGTCTGCTAAGAGGTTGAGTGAGTGACATAGAAGTGATTGTTGGAATGATTGGAATAGAGATTGTAGGGATTTTTGAAGGGATCACTGTTGGCCTGGTTGGAGGACAGTGAGAAGGTAAAGGAAGAGATTATGGAGCAGAGAAATTGGCTGGTAGCTGGAGGGGGTATGGGGGTAGGAGAGGATTTTTAAAAGATGGAAGATGCCAGAACATGTTTTCAGGCTGAAGGAAAAATGAATTCGAAAAGGAGAAATTGGTGAAGCAGAAAAGAGGGGATAATCACAAGGGCCAAGTCCTTGGAGAGTGAGTGGGGTGGGGTGCAGAGCAGAGATGGTGTTCACCTTTTTTAGGCTCAGGGACATTTCATGTGCTGTGGCTGCAGGCAGGTTGACAGATCTGGTGGTAGGAAGATGCTGCACCCAGGGATGTACCAACTCCCTGACCCCTACCCCCACTTCCATGTGACTGAGGCAGATAGGTACTCAGTAAGTGTGTGTTAAATAATCATTAAGTGGTGAATGAGTGGCAAAATGAGAACACGGACACATTTTTCTTCACCTCTCTTCCTTATCCTTGAACAGGCAGTGTTTGACATTGCGTGAGGTGGGGTAAAGGCACGGGGGACCCTTGCTGTGTAGCTGATACAGCAAGGAATTGGTTTCCTTCAAGGGTTCACTGAAATGAGGGAGTTCTGGGGTACACCATCAGTAAATGGGATGATCTGTGAGATACAAGAGAAGAGCACTGAAGTAGGAATTAGGGGCCAGGGGTCTAGTTCAGCTCTCATTGAACGTATGGCCTTTGGCAAACATCTTCCCTTCTCTGGAGCCCTGGTGGCACAGTGGTTAAGAGCTTGGCTGCTAACCAAAATGTCGGCAGTTTGAATCCACCAGCGACTCCTTGGAAACCCTATGAGGCAATTCTACTCTGCCCTATAGGGTCGCTATGAGTATGAGCCAGGATCAACTTGACGGCAATGGGTTGGTTCTCTGGGTAGCAGCTTCTTCGTTTTGAAATGAATGGATTAGGTCAACTCTTAGTTTTCCTTCTTTCTATTTATTTTTCTGTGTTAGACAGTAGTCCCTGCCTCTGTGGAACTTACTGACTCATGGCCTATCACTGACTCCCTAAAAATGGAGGGATCCACCACCTTCTTCTGCGTCATGCCCCGCCTCCTCGCTTCTGTTTCTCCTGTAGCAATGCCCACTTCTCTGGAAAAGAAGCGGCCCCAACCAGGCTTCATGGCTCATTGGATGACAGATCATAGCCTCCACTGTGCTTTATTTTAGTACCTGTTTAATGGGAAAATAATAAAAGTTAAATTTACTGAGTGCTTATTATCGGTATTTAGTATGTATTTATCTCATTTGATCCTTGCTACAACTCAGTAAGGACAGTAATTTGCCCCATTTTACAGATGAAGAAATCAAGGCTCAGAGAGGTTAAATGCCTTGTCCAAGGTTACACAGCTAGGAAGTAGGAAGTGGGGATTTGACTCCGGGCACTCGAGCTCCAGAACGAAGGGTTTTCAAGCCTTCCCAACGGAGAGTCTGGGAAGGATACTGTGAGCCACGGGAGGCACTTAGCTCACGTTAGTGGATGAGTTTCTGAAAGACTGTGTAGACATTCATTGGATCCCAGGGTTGGCAGGAACCTTGCTTTGTAAACAGAATCATCTTTTAAGTGCATAAAGGGATATCTGGAATTTAGAATTAAGAGCCCAAGGTCAAGGTCTGCCCTGCCACTTACCAACAGTGTGATTTGGGGCAAACTACTTAACCTTGCTGCGCTCAAATTCCTATTCTACAGTTGGCACTGTGGTTGATGAGCACTTCATAGGATGGTGGTGAGAATAAAGGGGCATGATGAAAGTGCTTTGCAAACTTTAAGTTCATACCAATGGTAGTTGTGGTGACTGTGGCTGACTTGTTGTTATTTAAAGGAATCCTGTAGTAATTCTTTTGGTAAAGCCAAGAATGCACTCACAGATGGAGATGATCTAATGTACTTTGTGTAAATTCATGCACTGAGTTTGCTTAAAGTGGTGGACTGAGGATGGAACAGCAAACTCTTCAAAGCCCAGCTTCCCCAAGAACATAAGTGGTTGGTGCTCTCCAGGGCCCCTCCCTCCTCTCACCTCCTTAATCCCTAGCACCACCCCCCCGCCCCCCCCCCCACACACGCACTTCTCTTTAACAAATTCATGCTTCGCAGGCTAAAAAGTTTATACATACATACATACCAAATGACGTTAAGTCAACTCCAGCACATGGCGAGCCTGTGTGTGTCACAGCAGAACCGTGCTCCATAGGGTTTTCCGTGGCTGATTATTCAGAAGTAGATTGCCAGGCCTTCCTTCTGAGGCACCTCTGGGTGGGCTCAAACCTCCAACCTTTCAATCAGCAGCCAAGCACATTAACCATTTGCACCACGTGCATAAATGCATACGTATATACATACATAACAGATTTCTCTTTGACCTCTAAAACCCCCCTCCAGTGGCTCTTCCCTAAAAGGCCCTTCTGAAGAAGGTCCAGGCAGCAACAGAAGCAGCAGTTAGAATCTGGATCCCGTCGTCATAGCACACAACTTCCAAACTCCACCAAACTGTCCAGCTGTGTAAGCTTCTGCAGCTCCCTGAGCCTCAGTTTCTTCATCAGGAAAATGGGGATAATAATCTCTACCTCCTGGGGCTTCTGTGAGGACTGCAGCATGTCAGGAAAGTACCTCTAGTACATGGCAAAAACATCATCATGCAAAATGACACAGACTGAGAGTCTCCCAAAGGATGATGGAGGGGCCTTCTGAACTCTACTACCCCTGCTACTTGCCCCCGTCCCAGCTCACCCACTGCTAGCCCTGCAGACCGCCCCCACCCCCACCCCCACCCCCACGGTGGTGCCACCACCTCACAGGTCTCTCCCCTGTGTGCCTTCAACAGGAAGTGAGTACTCTGGCAACGCCTACGGCCACACCCCCTACTCCTCCTACGGTGAGGCCTGGCGCTTCCCCAACTCCAGCTTGCTGAGTAAGTCACCTCTGGGGCCAGGCCCTCTGCTGTGTGGGGTGGGTTGGGTGTGCGAGAGTGGGTCAAAAGTTGTCTAAAAGCTCAGAGGCCCTAGGTTAGACGAAGGGCTTGAGGAGACAGGTGATGTTCGTAGAGTCCAAGAAGGTAGAGGGAGGGCAGTGTACCTGGTTGTTTGTGGGGAAGAGGGCAGAGGGAAGAGACTTCCCGGCAGCAGTCTCCCTCCTAGTCCCAAATCCACATCTGTTAAGTCTTCATTTTGTGTAAGATTCTGGGCTCAGGCCTGAAGGGAGGGGAAAAGGTGGACACAAGGAAAGTTGAAGAGTGGACTTTCTGCCCCCAGCGGCTTGCAGCCTAAGCAGGAGATGCTGACTGAGGCACCTGGAGGCAGCCAGCTGCCCTTCTTTCTGGGAGGCTCCCAGTGCCAAGAATGCTGTCCTGTCGTCCATGTTTACCATCTAAATGGCTCAGCACCAAAATCCTCACACAGAAATCCTTTGCTCCACTATGTTCCCCAATATTTGCTTTGAAAGAAGTGGACAACATTTCAGTATTGGGGTCCAGAGAGTCAGCTGCAAGGCTACTCTTAACCCCTCTCTCACCCTGGAACACCAGGTTGGGTAGAGAAGTTTTTTAGGAAACCAAGCCCCCAGAAAGGGAAGCTTGAGAGATGGCACTCAAGGGGGCCTCACTCACATGATGGCCTTGGGGGTCTCAGAGAGAGCCTGAAGCCAGAGAGAATCAGCAGTGCAAGTGTGGCTGGCCCTGGTGGCAGGATCACCATTCCCCGAGAGCCCTCTCTCCTCCCACCACCTCCTGGAGTACCAGAAGGGACTGGGATGATGGCTGACCTGAGCTCTGTTGCCCAGATGAGTTCAACTCCAAGCCACCTTTCTGTTCAGTTTAGCCAGAAAAGATGAGGGTAGTGAGGCGTGCTGGAGCGTCAGGACATCTTCCTGCTGGGCCTTCCGGATGCCCATCCTGCCCTAGGCCTCGAACCCCAACCTGCTTTGACCAGTCAGGATTCTCACCCCTGGGCCTTAGGATGGAGATTATCTGACCTCGCCCCATTTGTGCAAGGCGTCAGGGTTCCAGATGTAATGCTCTCTATAGCTTCTCCCTGAGTCGAGGGTGTTGAAGGTCAAATCAGTCATCAAGGGAGGGGGCAGAGAAGCAACTTCCCTCGTTCTGGCTAGAAACTCAAAGGTGAGGCCAGAGAAGGAGGAAATAGGGCCAGAGAGGAGTTAATCTTTGATGATCAGATAGGCCAGAGGGATAAATGATTAACTTGTGCTGTCTTAAAGGTCAGCAGATGCAGAGAAAAGGTATGGTGCAATTTCCCCTTCTGACCAGCAGTGTTGTTGTTATTTTTTTCAACATGTCCAGGTTCCCCATATTATTACAGTTCCACATCAAGGCCAAATGCACCGCCCACCACCGCTACGGCCTTTGACCATCTGTAGTTGCCATGGGGACAGTGGGAGCGACTGAGCAACAGGAGGACTCAGCCTGGGACAGGCCCCAGAGAGTCACACAAAGGAATCTTTATTTATTACATGAAAAATAACAAGTCCAGCATTGCGGCTCACTCCCTGTGTGGTTAATTTAATGAACCTTGAAAGACACAGTGACCTTGGAGAAGGCCAAACTGTCCTCCAAGACTCCTTAATGAGGGGCAGGAGTCCCAGGGAAAGAGAACCATCCCATTCAGCAAGAGACAAAACTGGAGGAGAAACTGTGGCCCCTGGCGGCTTCCCACCAAAGGAGAGAAGAGGGAACAGCTGGACGATCTTGAGGGGATGGCAGATAGGACTGCCTGGGCCTGAGGGGTGAACAGTGATGCCTCTTGGCTCTGTCATCAACACAACTCTAGCAATTGTGGGCTGTAAGCACTCCCATCCAACCCACAAGCCATAGACCAGTGCAAGGGCTCTCTCCCCCAGAGACCCTGATAGTCACCTCCCTCAGCATCCCCACCTGTCCACCTTCTCTACTCTCCTCCCTTGGCTCTTTCTATGCCCCCTTCTTGGGTATGGGCTGAGGGCTGGGTCTGGTCAATCAGAAACTCCACCCCGTTACCAACTGACCTTCCATTGCCTGCTGCTGTGAATGTACAAACACCACCCCAGGTTCTTGTCCAATGGATCCTCCGTTTGAGAGCTTCCATCAGCTGGGCCAGCCTAAACAGTTTGGGACAGACATTCCAAAGGGCCTCTGGCCCCAGGGGTGGTGTGAAGTGCCCCTGTGCCCAGGGCAGAGCAAGGCAGATTGCTGGACCCACTTCCCTTTCCAGTAGCTCCCCCCATGCCAGTGTGCTTCCTGTAGTCCAAGCCCATTGCCTCTGAAGGAACCCTGAGGTAGCCCCTTGAAACCAACAGTGGAGGTTCACTTTCGGGAACCCCACAGCTGCTGCCCCCACACCTAACTGTAAATACTGTAAATGAAGCTCTGTTTGGGACAAGCTTCCCTCTCTGCATCCCCCAGACTTTGACCTTCACGTGAATTGTCTCCTTGCCACGTCAGGCGTCTCTCCTTGATGCTTCTTTCTTCTTTAAAGACGCCATTGCCACATGACTCAATAAACCATTACTCTTCATCTCTGGCTTTGGGATTGGCTGGGGAAGGAGGTGCCTCAGTGTTGGGCTTTCTCCGGAGAACTTCAGAGCCAAATGCCCAGTGAGCTCACTGTGGGACTTTGGGTTGAAAACAAAAAACAGTTGCTGTTGAACTAACTTGACTCATGGTGACCCCATGTGTATCAGAATAGAACTGTGCTCCATGGGGTTTTTGATGGCTGATTTTTCAGAAGTAGATCACCAGGACTTTCTTCCAAGGTGCCTCTGGGTAGACTCAAACCTCCAACCTTTCGGTGAGCACAGAGCATGTTAGCCACTGCACCACCAGAGACTACCGTGGGTTGAAAGGGACCATATAATACCCAAGATCCCTGACTTGGCAGTCTCCCTCTGCCCTTAACAGATGGTCAGTGAACGCGGGGTGAATCAGTTACCTCCAAGCCTTGATCTCCTCAGCTCTAAGTCAATGCGAGTACAAAATGAGCAGATGGCGTGGTGCTGGCCAGTCAGACTCTCTCCAGTAGTTGCTCGTTCTCAGCAGAAAGCCAGAGAGTCAGCTGGGAGGGTTGGTGATGGAACTGAGAAGAGCTGTTAACTAGAGCCTATGGGAACAGTGCTTGAAGATGTTCATTACATACCAGCCACAGTGTGGAGGGCTTTATATAAGCTAAATTGGGATTAGCCCTATTTTAGATATGAGAAAACTGAGGCTTAGAAAAAATGAAATGACTTCCCAAGATAGGAAGTAGTAGATTCAACCAAGTCTTCTTATGCCAAGTCCAGCCCTTCCACCCAACACCATGGGGCCCTCATCGGGCATACGGGACAGTTCGGACCCAAGGTTCTAGGGCTGTTACGGAGAATCTAGTTTGTAAAGATTTGTCATCACTGGGCAGTGGCAAGGCACAGGGTGGCAGGGGGAGAAAGGAGGGATGAAGGAGTCTGCAGGGGCTTAGGACAACCCTTTTGAGGAATTTGGGAGAATGAGGGTGAGAATACAAAGGTGACTACAGGGGCTCTGCCCCCAACAGGACAGGTGGCCCACCCGGGGCTGGCTGGGGTCTGCTGGGACCCTCTCCATGTGAGACCCAGCTGGAAGGAGGAGCAGGGGTCTGCAGCCTCAGTGCCCAGGTTAATACTGACAAGGAGCAGTCGGGCAGACAACAGCCAGGGGCAGAGTCAGATGAAGGGGATTCCTCACCCACCCAGAACTCCAAGGCTGGGAAGAGAGGTGGAAAGATAGGGCCCTAGCTCCTTAGTCCTCCCACAGAAGAGGCCAGGAGTGCTCACCAAGGATGGCATGAGAAGAGCTGAGCCATGGGGGACCCTCGCATGAAGAAAACCTGTTCCCCATCTCTTCTGAGTGAAATCTGAGACGAAATTTGCTTTTCAATAACAGGACTTCCCTCTAGCTATGAGCATGACAGCAGGATTCTGAATCCCATTATATCTGAGGCTCTTCATGCTCCCGAACCCCTTGGTTCCCAAGCCCTAGGACACCTGTCCACCTAGTTCTGGGGCCACAGTGAACCTCCCCTCCCACACACACACCAGTTATTTTGAGACACAGCATTCCGGGGAGCCTGCAGAGCTAAAATGTACATTTGCAGCCAAAATCCTCCCTCCACTGTGTACGCCAGGCAGAACTGCTCCAACTCCCGAATGCAACATGGTTCAGAACTCACTTTTCCTCCTCTGAGGTGAGTTGGGCACCTTAGAACTCTCTCTTCTTAGTGGGTGTTTGGGGAGTATGTTGCATGTCCCAAGTCCAGCAGGTACCTGTTCCCATCCTAATATTTTGTCCGTAGTCAAACTGTGGGTCCCTCTTTGGAGCTTGGAAAGTATAGTCATTATGTGTTGGAGAGAGAGATAATTTGAGGTGCCCCAGGATTGAGGGTGGTATGGGAGAAGTTGGGGTGGCGCATAAGGAGGCACTGTGGGGAAGCGTGTGAGAAGAAAGGCAGGGAAGACACGTAGGAGGGCTGCAGAGGCTGAGCTAGATGGGTAGTGGGGTGGGACTCACCCTTGGGTAGCGAAGTGTGAAGTGGGGGATGCTGCGCCTGACTCATCCCAGCGGATCTGGGTCCACCGTCCCCTGTATTGCACACTGGGGCCTTGCAGTCCTAGAACAAGCCCTTTCACTGTCTGTGTGGCGAGACCTCCATTAGCTTTCCAGGCCGTCAGCTCTCCCGGGTCCGTGACCCTCATCCCGTGTCCTCCAGCCCGCCTTGTCCTCCCAGCCAGTGGACAGCTGAGGATGCGAGGAGCTCACAGGAAGTCTGTAGGCCAGGCAGCCTCTGAAGGACAAAAGGGTTCTTGGTGGGACGCAGAGCACTAAGTTGGGAGAACCTGGCTGGAGCTGCTGCGACCCTCTGGCCCTTACCCCTTACCGGATGTCTCCACCTCCCAGTTCAGCCCTCAGGCTAGTTCCACTTCCTCCGGTTCCCCTGCCTTCTCTCACTTCTCAAATATTGGAATATTCTTTTGTGACTAAAAATACTTATTTTCTACCCACCATGTGCCAGGCATGCACTCAATGCTCCCAGCAACGCCAGGCAAGAGAAATTTGTGGGCACAGTCTATAGATCAGATAACACGAGGCCAGAGAAGTTGAGGAACTGGCTAACCTTTCCCACAGCCACCTGCCTTCATCCTTCTCCTGCCCCCTCCACACATATACACCTTTCATATAAACACCCATCGACTCAGCTCTGATTCATGGTGACCCCATGTGTGTCAGAGTAAAACTGTGCTCCATAGGGTTTTCAGTGGCTGATGTTTTGAAAGTAGATTGCCAGCTCTTTCTCTGAGGTGCGTCTGGGTGGACTGGAACCTCCAGCCTATCATTTAGCAGCCGAGCACATTAACCATTTGCACCACCCAGGGACTCCACATAAAAACATAAGCCCTCTTTAAGGCAGCTCATGATGTCATCGACCTTTGTGGGTGGGCGTAGGAGGAGAGGACGGGAGACTTCACCTCTTGCCCATAGTTGGTGGGTCCTGGGCAGAAGGAGTCCTGGGCAGAAGAAGAGAGCCCACCCCCGTTCACCCCCTAACAGCCCCCTGTCCTGTCTCCTCCTCAGAATTTACAACACTTCCCATAGGCTTAGTTTCTGTTTACAAAATCTGTTCACATCAATTTCTGTTTCTGATTCTGAACATTGGTGCCATTTTGCAGTTAGGGAAACTGAGACTGCTTGACTTTTTCAAGGTCTCTCAGCTAGTGGGCAGAGGAGCTGGGACCACAGCCTGATCCCTAATCTGTGGCCTAATCTGAATCCAAACCTAAAGCCTCAGCTGTCTGCAGTGGCCAGGCTTCCGCAGAGACCTCAAGGCATCCTTTGCCATCTGGGGAGGGACAGGGTTTCTTGCCGCACCAGCCACCATGGGGAGTGCTGCCACAGGCTCTCTACTCTGTAAGTCAGCCCTGTGTGAAGGCCCAAGGTCAGCCTCCAGGCTGAGAAGGAAAGCTAGGGCAGGAGCGAGGGGTGCCGGGATGAGCCCCAACTCTCCTTCATCCTTGGTCCTAAGTGTCCCCTCAGGCTGCCCCTTGAGGTAGTAAAGTACTTCGCTCTGCAGGGAAGTGCCCCTTCCTGACAACCAGCCACACCTGGCTGTGTTCTGTGGCAGAACTCTGCCCACAGAAGCCACCTCCTCTCTGTGGCACCTCTTTCTCCTTCATCTTTTTTTTTTTTTTGTCCCTTTTAGTTTCTTATCCCAGCCCCTCTCCTGCTGAGCCTCATGCGATGATTCCTTTCCCCGTCCTCTGAGAGACCTTTGTGTCTCCAGGGCTGTGGGCCCTTGAAAGAACAATCCGCATATCCCAGGAAGGGCCCACCCGAGCTGAAGGTAGCCTCTGTGATTTAAAAACCACCAACCAGGGAGAACTTCTTCTCGCCTTTCCACCTCCCTCTCTCTCTGGCTTCTCGTTCTTCTTACTTTCTTCTCCTTCTGGCTCTGTG